GCTCTCCAAGCCTGTATGTGCTGCAAATCTGGTAGGAATAACTGCTGGTATGATGGATGAAAAAGTCCTGGTACAGAAAGCTCTTCAGAGACTGAACAACAACAACAAAATACCATTAGGATGAAACTTACTGCAGAAAAATATAAAATCCTGCCTCGAGGTTAAAAACTAATCAGTTGTATAAGAGCAGACAGATCATAGGATATTTTGCCTTGAATGTTAGTCATGTGAAAATGAGCTAGGAGGTTTGATTGACCTCATTTGCAATCAGGTGTTAAATGTCTATACGATTATACTGCTCTGAGATTACAGTGACCAGATGACCAGAAGTAGTATCCTTGTACCTGAGTTGGTGATAATTATGTGAGCATTTTAAATCTTTGGCTAGATAGCATCTAAGGGCTGGATAATCTAGAGACCATGGATCACACAAAGCTATCAGAAGAAATGTTTAGCCTGTAAGATTTCATGAAGAGATACAAATACTTTTACGAATTTTTCAAATTGTAAATGTTTCAGTGATAAATGCTATAAGGGCTGGTCAAAACATACAAGAGAGCATTTTCTAAGTACTCAGCTTATCAGTAATGAGAAGGTCTTTTTATTGGGTAAAAATGAAGGTGTAACAATATTTAATAAAATGATGTCTAGAGACCCATGGGTACCTTAATGCTTTATTCACATTTCCTCTGCCCCTCCTTGTGAGGCTGCTGAATGATCGCACACAGAACAACAGGAAGGATGTAGGTTGAAGAGCCATTTTATCAACACCTCCCTCCTTCACCGTTATAGGGAAGAACTCAAGGAAATTCTGGATCAGAGCACAAGGCTAAGGCCTCCTTTTCTTCCTGGCTTTCTTCCATCATGTCCTCCAAAAAATTAAATTACAGGTTCAGCACACACATAGAATTGAAATATATGTGTACAGTTAAAATGCTGTGTGAAAGAAGTTCCCCAAGAGTGTAATCGAGTTTCTGTTACTGAAATGGAAGTAAAGATATATTTCAACTCAACAAAAGGACATTGTATCAGTCATATGATCTTGCGTGGAAGAAGTTCATTGCTCTAAGAGTGAATTTGCTCTTGTTTGAGTCTAAATGCTCTACAGTGCAGGGGATCTGCCCAGTAAATTATACTCTTGGGAAGTTAGACAGGGAGAGCTTTATGGTCTTATTGATCTAAAATTTGATTTCTAGAAATATCCTTTGATTATTTTTAAGATTACATGACTAGGGTGTGTAAGGAGGAGCCCTTAAGGAAATTTGGCCCCAAATAACAAGTATAGAATTCCATTTAATTCCTCATGAGTTTTGATGACACACTGTTGACAGAGGTTTCTGTCCCTCCTGTTCCCACAGCCCTTCAGTTCCAAAGAAGCACACAGAGTTCAACATTAATTATAAACTGGTTGGCTTAGCAGCTCAGGCTTTCTTATTAACTAATTCTTACATCCTAAATTAGCCCACAATTCTTGTGTTAGCTATGTGGCTTGGTACCCTTTCTCAGTGAGGTATTCCCATCTTGCTTCCTCTTGATCTAGTTGACAACTGCAGACTGAACCTTTCCTCTTCCCAGAATTAACCTGTTCTAGTCAGCTATACTAAAACAGGCCTATACTTCCTGCCTGGATACTGGCCAGTCAACATTTTATTAAACTGGTACAAGTGACAATCTTTACAGAGTACAATACCATTATCTCACAACAACACACAACGCCTTGTGACTTTATTTCTAGTTATTTTGAGTCTCTGTGTTCTTTCTCTTTCTTTCTAGAAATACTGAATGTTTTTCTTTGTCCCTATAACTACTTTCTTCAGAATTAATTCTTTGTCCTATATGCTTCAACACCACCATAAGACAAACTGGACTCTGAAATTGTTAAATTGTCCAAATTTTTTATCGGCAATTTAGTGATAGCCTTTGGTAAATAAGCCAAAGTGTTAGGGACTAATTTAATGTTAAACTATCATCATCAGAAATATAGAAAATACAGTGTGAAAACATTAATACACTATAAGTTTAATGGGATACCAAAATGTGAGTTAATTATTAAGGATTCAAGATGTCTACCTAGGAGATTCAGAAATTGACAAACTAAAATGGCAACAAAAGTATATCATCTATTATAAATGATAAACATCATATAGATCCCCAGAACCTGTGAAAAACAGAAATCAATCAGAAAACCAAGTCATTCTCAGTTATCTGAAGATGTGAGCCCAAGATTCTGCAGAAAAGGTCTATCATGAGAATCCAAGGATACCATTTTTTATCCATTATTGTTAGGCCTCTTTTCAACCAAGACTCTTTGTATCACTGTCAACAGAAATAGCATTATCAGCCCCCTCATAACTCATTCTCTGAGAGGCAAATCCTAGTAAAAAGAAGCAGTAGGGGGAAGATTGGTGAACCAAGAATCAGCATTGTATGGGAAGTACTTGCATTTTATATATGGGAAGTATGGACAGTAATTTAAGGAGCTGCTTCAGAAGGCCTTCCATAACCTCCCATTAAAATAATCTCTCCCTCTGCCTGCTTTGCTTTATTCTATATATAGCATCACTGTGTTATTTATCTGAAAGTGTGTCATTATCTATGATATGTACAGCCATTTTGTTTCACTGTTGAGATCCAATAATTTGGCATGGTGTTAGCACACAGGTACTTTTTTTTTTTTTTCAAATAGAGATAGAAAGTGGTTCTTAGATTGACTGATGGGTCGCTAAAGCCTATAATGAGAAGTTGACTAAGAAAATATCCAGAATTGTTTTTCTCCTTGAAACATGAAAGAAAGATGAAATCAACAAGATGACCATCAGAAAGCCCACATGTCATCTATGATGACATTATTATAACTTTAGAGTTTTGAAACTCATACCATCCAATAATATACATACTTTTCCCAGGTAAATGCAGTTTTAACTCAACAGTAACTGAAATGTAAGGCATGGCCAATGGCATGGCTCTATACGAGCGTTTTGCCAGTTCTGACTTATAAAAACACAAGGAAATAAAACACCATTTATTGCCACTTACAAATATTACATGACTCTTATCCATATGAGATCATTCTAAGTCTGTATATTTGCTAAGATGATTTAATGAGGTGGCCTTTTGTGAACATTTCATAAAACTCAGTGTTTGAACTCAATTAGCTAAGAGAATATGATAAGTAGCTATCTGGAACTTTCATGATATTATACATTAAGTCTTCATGAAATGTGACATTTTCTAAAAATGTATTTGTTCTTATTTTGTGTATATGTGTGAGTACCTGCATATATGTATGTGTATCATATGTGTGCCTGATGTCCACGGAGGCTCAAAGAGGGTGCTGGATCCCCTGGAACTGGAGTCAAAAGGTGGTTGTGAGCTACTGGGTGTAGGTGCTGCAAACCGAATGGAAGTCCTCTGCAAGAACAGCAAATGCTCTTAACCGCTGAGCCTTCTCTCCAGCCCCAAATAGAATAATATAGTTATCTTTTAATGAGATCTCTTTTGAGTGTGCCTTGGATTATATAGAACGTATTTTATTGATAAGATTATGAGAAAAGCAAATAAAAACTAAATCCATTTGTGCTCTCACAGTTTTATACTTGGAGTAAGACAAGGGAAGGCCCAAAGGCATTGCCAAGTACACTCCTTCAAACTACTTAGCAGTGGGCTCTTCTTGTTTATTTAAAGGATGAATCTAGAATGACTGTCAAATGAAAGGAAGTATGAAGATTGTTCCAGGATATTGTTTTCTTTGAAACCATTGCAGCAATCCATATGCCTCTCATATCACTAAAACACTGTCTTATCAACCCTCATTAATTCCTGGCCCCAGATTCTTAAGCCTGTGACCACTATTGACCTCTGAAGGATGTTTTCAAAGGGAATCAGTCTTTCAATTCTGAAAAGTAATTTACTTTAATTGAGCCCTCTTGGCATTAGTAGCTAAGTAACATGAAATGATGAGGATGGTAGTGTCTCATTGAAAGGCAAATGATATGTTCTCTTATGTAATGCATGAGAGGTAACAGGGAGGGGGTACACAAAGCTCATTTGAGTAAATAGCTTCATGCTTTCAATGGAGAAAGACATTTACTGTTTTGATGTTTTAAAAAAGCATTGGTAAAATATGCTTGGTGATGTGATGGCACACTTAATCCCAGCATTTAGGAGGCAGAGAAAGGCAGGGTTCTGTGGGTTCCAGAGAAGCCTGGTCTATATAGTGAGCTCTAGGACAGGCAGGTGATGTGAAATTTCCCTCTGTATGCTATAAATATGTTTTGTTACCATTGATTAGTAAAGAAGATGCTCCAGCCTATAGCAGGGAAGAATAAAGCCAGGCAGGAAATCTGAACAGATACAGAGAGAAAGTAGGCAGAGTCAGGGAGACACCATGTAGCTGCTGAAGGAGACAGACACTGGACGGAACTTTACCCGTAGGCCACAGCCACGTAGTGATACATAGATTAATAGAAATAGGTTAATTTAAGATGCAAGAGCTAGCTATAAATATGTATGAACCATTGACTGAACAGTGCTGTGATTAATATAGTCTCTATATGATTATTTCAGGTCTGGGCTGCCTAGACACAAATAAATCACACAGAAACTATATTAATTACAATACTGTTTGACTAATAGCTTAAGCATATTTCTAGTTAACTCTTACATCTTAAATAAACCTGTTTCTGTGTATTACCACAAGACTGTGGCTTACCAGGTAAAATTCCAGCATCTGTCTGCTTCGGCAGCTACATGGCATCTTCCTGACTCTGCCTAGTTTATTTATATATATATATCTTCCAGCCTGGCTATATTCTGCCCTGCTATAGGCTGAAGTAGCTTCTTTATTAACCAATGGTAGTAAAACACATTCATAATATACAGAGGGGAATCCCACATCAGCCAGAGATACCCAGTAAGACCATGTTTGTAATAATAAATAATAAAATGTTTGTCATGGTGAGGTGGGCAAACCGTGGAGTCCTTAGAGTATGTGACTTTAGGCACTCATTTCAGCAGCACGTATACTAATATTGGAACAATATAGAAAAGACTAGCATGGCCCCTGCGCAGCGTTAACATACAAATTCATGAAGCATTTCATGTATTTTTTAAATGATAAAATCTCCTCTTCACATCAAGCACATCTTCTGTCATACAAACAGCAAGGTCACCTTGGAGTCACTGGTAGGAGCTAGTGCATAGCTCGTTCTCTATGTCTCCTAAGGAGAGCTTTCGCTGCTCCAGCTCCCACCCAGAGTTGCCTGGTACATCCTATTCTCTTTCTGCTCCACTTGGGTAGATTCTACCCTTTCTTTGTTTTTAGGTGCAACTTGATTAAACTCATGAACCCTGCTCTCTCTGATGCTTTACCGCTAACATACCCCCTTTATTGTAATATACCATGAAGTTTACATGTAGGTTATCAAATATCTGTAATTGTGTTTACATGAATTTTAGTATTGCTTGTTTGTAGGTGGAGGCTGTGTGTTGGTTCCTGGCTGCTTAGCCCCAAAATAATCACACAGAAACTATATTATTTAAAATACTGCTTGGCCTGTTAGCTCTAGCTTCTTATTGGCTAACTCTTACATCTTAATTTAACCCATTTCTAGTAATCTGTGTATCACCATGTGGCTGTGGCTTACTGGCAAGATTCCAACCAGTTTCTTTCTCTGGCGGGGCTACATGGCTTCTTTCTGACTCTGCCTCCTTTCCACCAGCATTCAGCCTGGTCATCCCCGCCCAGAAATTTTTGCCCTGCTCTGCTGTAGGCTCAAATTAGTCCTTTGTTAACCAATGGTATTCACAGCATACAGAAGGGAATCCCACATCATTTGTTGATTTTCATGGTTACAGATTGTGTGTGTGTGTGTGTGCCCTCCTCACAAATTTGTCATTTTCTCTGACTGATTTTAAACTCCATAAAGGAAAAATGGGTCTTTTCAATTCCCTTAATTCCTAGCTTATAGTATATACCAATACCCAGTAGTTTTTGTTGTTTTGTTTTTAATGAACCAGTGAGTGAGTAAATGCATCACTTATTGACATGAAATGCGTATGGTTTTGAATAAATGTGTTAATGAATGAATGGCTAAGTCCCCTTAATCATAAGTTTCTCATGACTCATTTCCATATCCTAAGAGGTATACAAATGAGTATATAATTCTTGTTCAGTATTTTCTACTGTCTGGGGGATAACTCATGCATTAAAAGAAAACAGTTTTTACTGGAGTTTTTTGGACTGATGTGGTAGTTAATTCTATATGTCAACTTGACTAGATTACTAGATGGCTAGATAATTAGCAAGGTATTGTTTTTAGATGTATGTGTGAGTGTTTCTGTAAGAAATTAGCATTTGATCAGTAGATTAAGTAACTATTCACTCTTATCAATGGAATAGGTATTATACATCCTGTTGTAGAAAGATCCAGAAAAAAATGAAAAGAAACTAGAGGAAGGGCTAATCTGTTTTCTCTTCGTTTAAGAAGTCTATCTACTCTTGCCCTTGGACATCAGACCTGATGGATCTTGGATGTAGGGCAGAAACCGTCTTCTCTTGTCATAAACAGGCTTCTGCAACTCAAACCAAATTGTACTACCAGCTTTCCTAGCTCTTCAGCTTACCATTGGCACATCACAGGACTTTTAAACCTGGTGAATCTGGTAGCACAGTCCCCAGAATGTCCTCTTATATATAGATTATGTGTCTTATCAGTCCTGTGGCTCTGGAGAAAGCTAATGAAATCATCTCATCATCAAGAAGCACTTGTATTTTTTTTTTCCAGTCTTTACATCCACATCACACTGTTGTTTAAGATTTGGACAGCCAAGTTCCTTCTCTAAACTTTCACCTTTTCATGCACCAAAGGAGACCAAGGATGAACCATAGAAAGAATAAGTAAAAGTACATGTGTATACACGTTCTCTACCTTAAACCAAGTTCATTCTGAAAACAATGTCTTGCTCGCTGAAATTCTGCAGAACAGGTGGACATGAGCCTTTTTACTTTTTTCTAGCTTCCTTTCGTTAGGAGAGTGATTTGTAAATATGTAAACAAAACAAGACTATTCTGCAAATTGTAAGTGCACCATTGGGTTGATTACACCAGGTTTTGGTCTATTTTTTATTCACTTGCAAATCTGAACTTGGTGGATGTTCAGTGTTACTGTGGGAGAAAACAAAAGACCCAACGTGTCATGTACATCACATTTCAGATTGCATTGATATTTACCTATAATTATCTGTAATTCGTGTCCTTCTAAAAGGATAATGAGCTGCATTTGTGCTAGTTAGCAACCACTTATTAGCTAGATCTGTAGGTCCGCATAAAGTCATTTGGACATCATTTGTAAATTTTTCCCTCAGGCCTATCTCTTTAGGGATTTTAATGTCCTTGGTAATATTTTTTCATTTCAGTCCTTTTGATGTAGTTTCTTCCCTCCTAGTAAATTAATTAAAGCATTTTTGATTTTATAAATCATAGTGATTATCTAACGGTTGCATAGATTTTCATCATCTTTAGGCTGATCCATTTATATGGGCCATCAGCATTCAGTACAGCTTGTTCCAGAATTGATTTGATTATAGCCAGCTGTATTGACCACCGAGGCAAATTCAATAAACAAACTGAAGGAACTGATTTGCCCACCGAAGACGGGAACAGCAATAGGTGTAAAACATTCATTGTCCTTTCTAGGAAAGACAAGAAATCAATAAAGCAAATACTCATCCCTGGAGCTATATAGGCAGGGATTTCAACAGCTAATATTAAAAATAAAGTTCAATTGCTTCACCAAAAATGTAGAAAAATGTAGAGGTTTTTAAAATGACTTATTTTCAAAAAGCATGCCAATTAATTATCTTTTTCTTGAGTATGGGCATGCATGTAGATCTGAATTCTATCATCAGAACAAGTTCTTCAAGAAACTGGATAACCATTTACCATGAGAGCTAGGCGCTGGATCATTGTGGCCATATAGTAAATGACAAAAGCAACAGACACACACTGTCCTGCGAAGGAGTGTGGCAGAAGCCTAAGACCAGGAGCAACTCTAGAGTGATCGTATTTATATTAATGTTCATTTCTATTACAGATTGGAAGGGGGGGAAAGAGAAAGAGCAAAGTAATTTAAACTCAGGCTTTCTGTGAAAATTAAGCCTATATTCACATTCTGTTGACATTTTGTATTATATATTAATTTAAAAGCTCCTTCCCATTCTTCACAAAAACCTACAAAAATGAAATAGAATATAAATGACCTCTGGTCAAAATTGCAAAAGCAGCTGGAAGGTCAGCTATAGGCTTGTATTTTCAACTTCACAGGAGCAGACATTGGCTATGAATGACTTGGTTTTTAAAATTAGAAATACATAGGAAGACTGAAAGTGAACAGTTGCAGTCTTACTGCCCTGATTTACTGAAAGACTGGAAAATGGAGTTGCGTAGGATATAGAAATGGTTTTTATTTTAACCTTTGTATTTTTCTAATTTAAAATATGTTATATTAATAGAATGGCCAAATACATAGGCTCTGATTGGACAGGTAAGGTTGAGGCATGGTCCTTTTTCCTTTGCTTAATGATGCAGTTCAACCGAATTATTATCCTTCCTGAGACTTTTTGTTAAGATGAGAAGATAGAATCTGTACCTTATAGGAGTGATGCAGATATTAAGGGAAGTGTGTGTGTGTGTGTGTGTGTGTGTGTGTGTGTGTTGTCCAGTACTGCTCACCGCTGTAGTTATACAACCGTGAATCAGAAGTTGCTATACCCCTTAGCAGCAACTCTAATTCTGACAACCAAAACTCTAGAAAGTCTGCAAAGTGCACACGGGATTTGTGGGAAAAAGAAACCCAACTGGGAGAGCCAGCAATCTTCACCCAAAGAGTTATATACTTTAGACAGACAGACAGACACACACACACACACCTTACAAGTTAAAATCAACTAGGATCATTAAAATATGAGTTAAGGAAACAAATTAAACAAGAGGAAACTTGGTTGAAAATCAGGAGATTTAGATTGATCAGGGAGAGTTATATTTAAACATGATTACCATGTTGCTGGCAGAAAGTGTTTCTTTGAATAATCAGGTTTGAAGAAGCTGATAATCGAATACTAGATCTGTCACTGTCGCCTGTGAGTCACTGGTTTGAGCAAGGAGAAGGCCAAGCCCACTGGGACCTCAAGGCTTAACTCTTCTGTAAAACCACAGAAAACAAAAGCAGAAATAATGAAACCAAATCATCATTGTCGTGTTGTGTGGCTTTTTCTTTGTGGCTTTCCCTCCCAGGTATAGAAATGGTTAATACTATGTCTTCTTTGAAGATTTGGGCATCTTCTTTATTCATTTTGTATGTCCGTCACGTAGCCTCATTCCTAACATGCAGCTGGTGCCCATCGACATTTGATGGATTGAATGAGTTCAGCAAAGGTTCTGAGCAAGAGAAAAATCTCAGTGGGTAAAATTCTGCTTGTGTGGTAGCTCTCAAGGTAGTCCTTGGGTTTCATATTTGTGTTGAAAGAGCTTTCTTAGGATAGACTCTGACTCATGCATTTGAATTGTGGATTGGGTTCAATAAATAGATTTTCTTAGTTTTTACTTTAAACATGTATATTCAAACAATATTTACTAATTGCCTCTGTAGAACTGTGGCTAAGTCATCATTAAATCCAGCATTATTTTGAAAAGGCGTGTAATTTTTCTTGGTCCTCAAGTTTTGTGCCGTTTATCTTTGTCATATTTGGGGAAAGTTTTTATTTGTTCTAGCTCATTCCCTTTCCAAAATCTATTAGAATTAACTATAACCTAAGTCACCCTTCCCCTTTTTTATTTTTTGGTTTTTCAAGACAGGGCTTCTCTTTGTAGCCCTGGCTGTCCTGGAACTTCTCTGTAAACCAGGGTAGGATCTCAAACTCAGAGATCCACCTGCCTCTGCCTCCTGAGTGGTGGGATTAAAGGTGTGCACCACTACACCTGGTTCACAAGACCCCTAATAATGATGCATAAACAATGGGTTGAGAGGCTCTTAGAGTTCCTGATTCTGTAGTATCGTAACTAGCCCAACAAACACCACTGGCATCCACTCAGAGAACTGCAGCTCTGAA